CTTGTGGCACAAGCAGTGGTAGCAGCATAACAAGCCACTTAGCACGTGGCCACAAGCAGCCACAGAAGAACTCATGCAGCAGTGCAACAGGTAGCGGGGCATGGGAGGCCTGGCTGCAGTGGTCCTAAGGTAAGTGGGTGCAGAGTGTGTGGGGCAGTTCCATCCTCATCCCCAATCTAGCTTGATTTTTAGATATATGCCTTGCCCCAAAACTAGGGCTTATTTTTTTGAGTAGGGCTTATATTAGGTCCACCCCCAAAAATCAAGCTTATATTAGGTCCACCCCCAAAAATCAAGTTTACTTTCCCAAACATAAGAATTTGGGGAAATTCTTATGTTTGGGAAAGTAAATATTTTCTTGTCCTGCCCTGTGGTGTTTTGGAAAATAAGTTAACTCCCTCATCTTCGTAATAACATCTCATATACTGGAATATCATGTCCCACCCAGTCCTTCTTTTCTCTAGATTAGCCAAACCCAAATTCTGTAACTATTCTTCATATGTTTTAGTCTGCAGGCTTTTAATCATCTTAATTGTTCTTCATTGCACTTTTTCAAAGTCTCAACATCTTTTTTGTAATGAGGTGACCAAAATTGGATGCAGTATTCCAGGTGTGGCCTTACTAATGCTTTAAAAAGCAGTACTTATACTTCCTGTGATTTTGATTCTATGTCTCTGTTTATACAACCAAGGATTGTATTAGTTTTTTGGGCTGCTGTCACATGCTGTTGGCTCATATTTAAGTGATCGTCCATTAGGACTCCAAAGTCCCTCTCACAGTTACTGTTTTTGAGCCAGGTTTCGCCTAATCTGTACTCATACCTTTGGTTATCTTCTTCTTCTTCTTCTTCTTCTTCTTCTTCTTCTTCTTCTTCTTCTTCTTCTTCTTCTTCTTCTTCTTCTTCTTCTTCTTCTTCTTCTTCTTCTTCTTCTTCTTCTTCCTTCTTCTTCTTCTTCTTCTTCTTCTTCTTCTTCTTCTTCTTCTTCTTCTTCTTCTTCTTCTTCTTCTTCTTCTTCTTCTTCTTCTTCTTCTTCTTCTTCTTCTTCTTCTTCTTCTTCTTCTTCTTCCATATCCATTATTAGATGTTGGTGATCATGTTGGCGATCCTGTTTTTATCAGCAGCCGCACAAAAAAGTGCTGCTGAGTTTTGTTCAAACCAGTCCCTTAGATTTTGAAGCCACGATGTTCTTCTTCTGCCTGGACCTTGTTTGCCTTCAATCTTTCCCTGGAGGATTAAATGGAGTATGCCGTATTTTTCTGGGTGTCACATCACATGTTTAAAATATTCTAATTTTCATTTTTTAATTGTTTTGATGATTTCCTTTGGCTTTCCCAGATTTTTCTGCCTGCATGTAAAACCTTGCTTTTCTCCACATTAAATTTCATTTTGTTGGATAGGGCGCATTATTCAAACCTGTCAAGATTGTTTTGGATCCTGAGCTTGCCTTCTGGGGTGTTGCCTATTCCTGCCAGTTTAGTGTCATCTGAAAATTTGATGAGTTCTCCTTCTATTCCCTCATCTAAGTCATTTATGAAGATGTTGAAGAGTACTGGGCCTAAGATGGAACCTTATGGTACATCACCACTTACTTCTCCATGTAGATGTAGTACCATTAAGAATGACTTGTCAGCCAGTTACAAGTCCATTTGGTGGTAATGTTCTCTATCCCACATTGTTCTAGCTTACCAAGAAGTAGGTTGTGATCTACTTTGTCAAATGCCTTGCTAAAGACTAAGTATAGACATTTTGCTGGTTTACTAATTTAGTCACTTTGTCAAATAATGAAATAAAATTGCTTTGGTATGATCTATTTTTAATAAACCCATGCTGACTTTTAGTTATAACTTTATTTGTTTCTAGATGTTTGCAGATCTATTTTTGATTATCTTTTCCAGTATCTTCCCAGGTATTGATGTTAGGCTGATTAGTCTGTAGTTTCCTGAGTCTGTTTTTTTTTCTCCTTTTTTGAAGATGGGAACCACATCAGCTCTTTTCCAATCCTCAAGTAATTTTCTGGTGTTTCAGGATTTTTGAAAGATATGGTACAATGGTTCTGAAATAACATTTGCCAGGTCCTTCAGAACTCTGGAATGTAATCCATCAGTTTTTGGTGATTTATATTTGTCAAGATCAGATAGGTGTCCTCTAACCATTTTCTTGCTTTTATTTTTATCTCTAGTCTGTTTTTTACAGTTATGTTTTGGGTAGCTTGGGCTATAGTTTCTTTTCGTGTGAAGACTGATGCAAAGTATGAATTAAGTAGCTTTGCTTTCTCTCCACTTCCTTGCTATCTTCTCTCTTAAGTGGACCTACTGTTTCCTTGACTTTTTTCTTGTTATGTATATGTTGAAAGAAATTTTTTAATATTATCTTTGACTTTTGCTGCAAGTCTTTGTTCATTCTGAGCCTTTGCTTTCCTGATTTCATCTTAGCAGATTTGGGCTATCTGCTGATATTCTGCCTTAGTTATATACCCCTTTTTCCATTTTGTTTGTACTTGTTCTTTTTCTTTCAATTTATCAGAGAGATCTTTGTGCAATCTTGCTGGTTTCTTCTTGGATTTCTTGTTTTCACCCTTGATTTTATGGATTTCTGTAGAGATGTAATGATCTTTTATATATAATGCAACTCCACCTTCTCTTTTGTTAAATCTGTTTATTTTGACTAGTTTGTATCCTTCCACCGGTACATTCCAATCATGAGTTTCATTCCACCATGTTTCAGTAATGGCAACTATATCATATTTACTTTCATGTACTAGTACTTCAAGTTCACCCTGTTTGTTCCCTAAACCTTGAGCATTTGAGTCCTTTATGGGTCTTGGGTATCTTTCTTATAACTCCTACTTTATATCTAGTTTTTCCATCTTTTCCATTACTCACTATTTCATTGTGTTTCTTCTTCTTCTTCTTCTTCTTCTTCTTCTTCTTCTTCTTCTTCTTCTTCTTCTTCTTCTTCTTCTTCTTCTTCTTCTTCTTCTTCTTCTTCTTCTTCTTTCTCCTCCTCCTCCTCCTCTTTACTCCCTGCCTATTGTATGATTGATTATCGTGCTTTTTGCTTGGAATTAGGTTCTAAAGATCTTGAAGATTGGACCCCTCCCCCTCAATTTTACTTTAAAGCCCTTATGATTAGATGAGCCAATCATTTTCCAAATATATTCTTTCCAGTTCTTCCCAATAGACCCTTCATGTAGGTAATGCAGACCATGGTCTAGGAAACCAAAGTTCTCTTGACGACACAAGTTTTTTAAAACTCTTACAATACTAGACAACACAATATCAACAGTAGAGACCTGTGAAAATATATACAGACCTCTCACATCCTGGAATTATAAATTATTTCAACTTCTTTCCTCGAAATGACACTATAGGGTATTGCATACCAGAACAACTAGATAAGGACAGTTTTTCCCCCACTCTGCTTGTATCTTAGAATTTATATTGTTTTTTAATATCCTAGTATGATTTATGTTGTTTGTTTAGCTAGTGTTCTATGACTATAACTTATGTTGCATCTTATGATTTATGAAGCGTTGTATTTTATGATTGATGATGAATGTATTTTATGTTGTTTATGATCATGATTTATTACTATTACTTGTATGTAGAATATTCTATTCTATTCTATTCTATTCTATTCTATTCTATTCTATTCTATTCTATTCTATTCTATTCTATTCTATTCTATTCTAAAAATCCTTTGCTCCCTCATTGGAAGTTTGCCTTTTGTTGGAAGTATAGATGAAATGAGCTCCTAATTCTTTAACCTTCTTCCCTAGCTGTTCGTAATCTCTTGTTATTGGTTTTAGATTCATTGTTGTGTCATTGGTCCCCACTTATAGGAAAAAAGAGGTAGTAATTTTAGTAAGGTTCTCAGTTAGATTTTTGATTTTTGATTTTATGTCTCCTTATTGCTAAGGTAAATGCAAAAACTTCAAACCATCTATAGAATTTGATGGTAACATCCTTCTCCTTAACCTATTTCTCTCTCTCTCATTCTTTTATTGCTCATTTATTCACAAAATATTGTAGATTCTTGGTACCACATTACTCTCAGGAGCAGAAAACTGTAGTATATCCACACATTATGTTTCTGCTATTTGTCCACATGGCATTTTTTACATTACATTTACTCAAGTGCTGAAGAAAATGTGATACCTTCATCCATTTTTCTGTATGAATGGTAAAACAGATGTGGACTTAAATGAGAAACATCTGGGAAACAACTTTCTGCCGATCCTCTTCCCCTATAACTACCACTTTAGCCACTTCTTCTGTCCCAGAAGTGATGAACGGTTGTCTGGATTTTAGCACTTTAAATACTTGGTAAAGAATTTTCTGATGAAATATACACACATATTAAATTTTCCTTTTGTGAATTAAAATTACACAACAGAGAACACACTTCTTTTTCTTGACTTGAAATGTCTGTCTTTAAGGGAAAAAAGTACTTATACACACTGTTTAAAGTATTGCCATGGGGGCATGTGTTTATTACTGCTTTCAGTATCTGAAACAAGGACTGAACTATACAGTGCACTCTGCTTTGGGAAAGAAATGAGAAATATTCATAAAAAAATTCCTGCCTTGAATTCTTAAAATTGTACAAATGAATCCTGAGTTCCTACTATTGTCTTTGCCAAATCCAATGGCCCTGATCAGAATAATGTTATTTTTATAAAATCCTCCACAAACATTTTGGCAATAAGTAAAGTAAGTAACAACAGGTTTCCAAATGTAAATTACCTCTCTGATACAGCTCTGCTTTATAGTAAATCTGGTCCTGTAAATTATATTTTCATGAAAATCACGTTTCCTGAATGTTCAAACCATAAGCATCGGAATTATCAATAACAAATTAAAAGTGAAAATAAAAAGAATAAAAGAATGATGATGATAAATTTTTGATAGAAGGTTGCTCAGTCTTGTTCTTTATAGCTGATTTTCTGAATATACTGGTATTTTGGGAAAATATGATTCTTTTCTTTATTCTTCACTGCAGCTTTGATAGAAAGGTGAAACATGGTGACCTGAAAACAAAAACTGTGCATCAAACTACAAAACCAACATTTCAGGTACTTCATTGAAAATTATTTCCTAAAGGAATATTTATTACTTCAGAGGACATGTATGGGCAGACCATATTATTTAGTGACCTGTAATACCAAAGTAATGATCACAATAAATCAGAGTTCATTACTATGTGAGGAAAGGCTGGATCAAGGATTTGCAAGTAGATAATGAGGCCTAATTTAGTATCACAGCATTATTTTATACTCATTTGTCTTGGGGGGAGGGGGAGCTGGGCTGAGGGCATTTAATTTATCCAACTTTCTTCAGGACTCTTGTCATCAGTTCATACGTTCAAGCTTATAAAGGCTCTTTTGCAATTCTGAAAACCATATAGGATGGAATTATTTCAACATAGATATTCTTATGAAAGAATTAAATAACCTGTAGCCCTGTAACCACATACAATTCTCAGATTAATATGATATGGCCCATAAACTAATTTCTGAGGTGATTTTCAAGGAATCATCTCTGATTTCTATTATTTGCAGGTTGCAGCTTATCTTGAAAGTTGTTTAGCTATGTTTTATTTCAATGATTCAAGTGCTATATCATTTCCATACTTATAGATGTGTCAGGGTAAGATATATTATGAGATTCTATATGCTTGTCATTTTGTCTTCCTTTCTTCATTCCCACTAACATAAAAATAGTTAGAAATTGTTTATATAGCTATTTTCCATAGTTGCATATTTAATTTAATTTAAAGTTCTATAATGTAATTTGTTCAGTTTGAATGCCATTTGACTCTGGGCAACTCACAATAATAAAGTGATATAAATAAGAGCCAATTACAAAAAGAAATAAATGACCAAAACAAGTATAAGAAGGTCTACAGAATTATTACACAATGGCAGTCAAACAATAAGCAAACATTACAAACAAGGGAGTCCCAACCATCTATCCCCACGTTATAGAATAGCCATGTTTTCAAGGCCTTTTGAATGTCATCCAGGTAGGACTTCATGGCTCTTAGGGACATCTTATTCTAGAGGTCAAGCATTGATATGTACTTTTTTTCTTTATAATATTTAAAGTTTATATTATAAATATTATGTATAATATACATTTCAGAATTCTGGAAGTCTTAAGAATGTAATAATTCTAAAATCATGGCAGTGTGAGTGTCATACGGTATTGTCCAGGCAAAGTTCTTTTCATATCATATCATATAGTATTGTCCAGAAAAAATCATTTTCTTTTCATATCATAAATATTTATTTTCTCCCACCCTTTTGCAACTCCATCAGTTATTTCCAATAATTGTTCTTAAGGGTAGAGGTAGGGTTTTTTTTGGGGGGGGGGTATTTTTGCTCAAATTAAAGAGAAAAGGAGGAAAATCAAGGAGGCTATTTAGTAAATGGAATGCTAATAAGATTTTAGATCTTGTTTGTCAATCTAAGTTTGCCAAATCATATTTTTATTTCTTGGAAAATTCACCTTGAGATTATATTGCTTAAATAACTTTAGCAAAGGTGGTAAGAAAAAAACTGAGAAATGTTATTTAAGATGTAATGATATATACATTTCTTAAAATATGTCTCCCGTGTGTATTTACTCACAACAAGCAATCCCACTTCCTTCTTTTCATTGGTTTATTGCAGGACAAATTCAGAAATGTGCAAATTTTAGTTGATAAGTAAGTTTCAGTTTATGTATTAGTCTGAATATTTAACCTCAAAGGTGGAACTAATTTATTGTTTTTCAAGTCCATGCTATGAAAGTTTGTTATGATGCTTCTTATTGTGGGCGTAGGCCAATATATCATATGAAAAGGGCTTCACTGTATGATTTAAAATGCTAATACTGTAAAGGAAAGTATTTAACAAATCAAATTATCCACAAACTGCTGCAAACTGAATAGAAAATACTTTTGATTTGATAGAGGAAAACACAGTTTTTTCCCCCTGAGACCACTTGCTGCACATCTGGCTCTAAATATGGGATAATAACTACCCAAATATGAATAGTAAATGTATTTTCCACATGGACATTGGCTGATAGAACTATGTTATAATGAGCAATAACTACATTCATATCTCTGGATGATTTAGTGCAGTTCCTCCTGATAATGACTGATAAGGGCATAGATATTGGAGATTAGCACAGAACTAACAGATGTTCTGAAAAATCAAACTACTGCTATTCAGTTATCTGTAAAATTCTTTTATTAACAATAAATAGTTGAGGACAAACCAGAAGTAACACACGGGAAAGGCAGAAAATTATGCTGAATTGCCACTTTGATTTTGGAATATGGTGAAATAAATCTTTTGGTAAGGAAACAGTTATTCCAAAGTTCTTTTATTTGATCATAGATGATAAAGAGCATTATAAAAAGTATCTATTCTGAACCAACAAGTGCAATTATTTTTAAAAATGATAATGTATGGAGCATCGTTCCTTTCCCTGTAACTTAATGTATTACCTCAATTGCTGGTTGAGAAATAGGAAGAGGTTTTTTTTTTTTTTTGTCTACAGTACACAATTCAAATGACAACACTTGCTATTATACTTTTCTTGTTTTGTCTCTGAAATGGCATTCTATCATTTTAGAAAGTTAGCTAAATCATAGATGAATACAATAAAAATTTAGCACTGAATGCCTTTTCATTTTGTCCCATCCCAATCCATAAATAATAAAAGATGGGATTTTCTGTTTATTTGTTTTGTTTTTAAGAGGACAAAGAAAATTAGATGAAATTGCAATTATTGACATTGACAAACATTGGCAACTTTCTTGAAGGGTCTGAGCTGGCAATTTAGATTATGCATTATATGTATATCTGCTTTTCTTCTAGAAATTCAGGGACTTCTAGGTAAGAAATAATGAACTCAAGATAACTTTACCATAAGAGACCACCCACAAGTGCTCTACATGGTTGATACTCAAACACATCACAAGACTGCAGTCTCTTGTAGGTTAAGCGTGCTGGGAGATGAGGGAATAGCTATTTTGCTCAAACCATGGTTGGTGTCTTTAAAAAGCATAGGGTTCTCGTATTCTTTTTAAATTCTAATTCTATTTCTAATTATTTATCAAAATTGCTTGATAATTGTTTTGCATTTATTAGAAACATTTGGATTTACAACCCTAACTCTTAGCAAAAGAAGTTTCAAATAAAAAGTTTAAGAATTTAAAAGTACATATTTTTTGAATAGCAAAGAAGTGATTAAATCTTTGGTTTTAAAAAGTTACAAACTGACAGGGACCCAGATGCATTTAAAATAGGATTTTTTAATTAATTATAAGAATCAATCCTTTAAAAATTCTTTTTAAAAAGTGATAATGAGACTTTGAAGGTTAGACCCTAAAGGAAATTAGGAGGAACTAAAGATTATAATTAAAGGAGAAGAACACTTGAATCTGACTTACAAATACATAATAAAGCAAAATAGTATTTGAACATATAAAGATTATTTTTGAACAATGGTCTCAAAAGTTAATTTTAAAAATGTCTGTTTCTAAAGACAGACTGTCTTTAAAAGATATTATGAGAGGCTAACAAGTTTTACCTGACAACATTAAGATTGGTCTGAAAGGTGATTTAAAAATGAAAGGTACAAGAATGTTATAAAAAAAGATGTTACACTGGATATACAAAAGAAACCATCTTGGAAGAAATGAAAAGAAATCAAATTCTAGGAGGCTATTTGAATGGACCAAAAATCAAGATTGCTAAAAGTGAAAGGAAAGATTTTAAAGTTGATTTATTTGATCAAAGTTAAAATAGATATATTGTTAACCCTTAATAAATTTTGCTGACATCAGAACTGAAACTTAAAAAGTAGGATATAATAAGGAGAGGTATTTGTTATATTTTAAAAGGAAATGAGTTAGTAAAATTGTTTATATTTGTTGTGGTGAAGGGGAAATATCACCAAGATACTCTCAATTTTACACAGGAAAAGATCCGAATACACCAAGACCTGCATGCATATATATATATGTTTTCTGAGGTTTTCGCGGGTATTTGTATGTAGGTCTTTGGTTGTTCAGGTTTTCTCCCGCGTAAAATTGGAAGTGTCTTGGCGACGTTTCGACGAAATCCCATTCGTCATCTTCAGGCTGGTGTTTTCAGCTTCGTGCTTTGAGTAGCAATGTGTGGTCTTAGCTGTTTCTTCCTTTTAACTGCCAGTGGGGGTACGAACTGATTGGGTGGGAGCTTGGCTGTGTTCTGATTGGGTGGAGGTGTGTTCTGAATGGTTAGGGGCTTGGCTGTGCTCTGATTGGCTGGGGGAATGTTCTGTTTGGTTGTGCTCAGGTTAGTCTGAGTTGCAGAGGGGTTTAAGATTTTGGGCTGCCTTGCTATTTTTTGGCTTCGCGTTCGTGGTCGTGCCTCCTCTTCATGGAGGGTGTCAGTTTGCTTCATGTATGGATTGGAGGGGTTTAAAGTGGCTAATGATGCAGCTGTGGTCTGGCTTCTGGTTTGTGGTCGTGCCTCATCATCGGTGTGGCTTTGGGTTTGTTTTTTGCATGGATGTGTGGTGGTGACATCCTGTGTGGTTTTTGTGAGTGTGGGTCTGGTGTCATTTTTTGTGTTAGGGAGTCATTTGTCAATAAGGGCGGGTTTCCAAATGGCTGGTAGGCGGGAGGTATCATCTCGCTTGTTCATGCTGTGTGGGCGTTTTTCTATCTCGATGGCTTCTCTGATTATTCTGTTATTAAAATGTTCATTTTTGGCAATGGTTCTGGTATTTTTAAAGTCAATTTCGTGTCCTGTGGCTTTAAGGTGTTGGACCAGGGAAGATGTTGGTTCCTCTTTTTTGACTGAGTTCTTATGTTCTTCAATGCGTGCACTTATTCTTCTGTTGGTTTGTCCGATGTATGTGGTGGGACAAGTGGTGCATGGGATTTCGTATACTCCTTGATTTTCTAATTCAATTTTATCTTTGGGGTTTCTAAGGATGGTGGATATTTTTCTGTTTGTGCAGAATGCTGTTTTGATGTTGTGTTTATGGAGGATCTTACTGATTCTGTCTGTGGTGCCTTTTATGTATGGGAGGAGGGCTTTGCCGTTTTCTTGTTCTTTGTCTTGGATTTTAGTGGGGGTTTCTTTTTGGATTAGGTTTGTAATCTTATTTCTATGGAATCCATTGGATGTTAGTACATTGGTGAGAGTGTGTAGTTCGGGTTTTAGGTGTTGTTCGTCAGCTAAGCGTTTTGTTCTGGAGATGAGTGTCTTGGCTACAGAGTTGATCTGTGCTGGGTGGTGGTGTGAGAGAGCATGCAGATAGCGGTTTGTGGGTGTTTTCTTCTGGTAGATGGTGTGTTCTAGGGAGCCATTGGATTTCTTGTAGACTAAGACATCCAGGAAGGGAAGTTGGTTGTTAGTTTCTGTTTCCATGGTGAACTGTATTTTGGGGTGTAGGCTGTTGAGGTGTGTGAGGAAGTTGTCCAGTTTTTCTTTCATATGTGGCCAGATTATGAAGGTGTTGTCTACATATCTGAGCCAGAGTTTGGGTTTGTGATCCGATTTTTCTAGAGCTTGGGTTTCAAAGTGTTCCGTGTAGAGGTTGGCAATGACAGGTGAGAGGGGTGATCCCATGGGTGCTCCTTCTGTTTGTTTGTATTTTTGTCCATTATAGATGAAGTATGTGTTGGATAGGCAGTGGTTGGTCAGATCTAAGATGTGTTTGGGGGGGTTATATTTGTTTTGAATAGCTGTCAAGGCTTCTTTGATAGGCACTTGGGTGAAGAGGGATATGACATCGAAGCTCACTAGTAGGTCGCTGGGCTGTAAGTTTTGTTTCTTTATGATCTCTATAAACTGGAATGAGTTTTTTATGTGTGAGGTGATGGATTCTGCATAGGGCTGTAGTTGTTTGGCGAGAAATTTGGCTAGGTTTTGTAGAGGTGAGCCTATGGAGCTGACTATAGGTCTGAGTGGGGTTCCTTCTTTGTGTATCTTGGGGAGACCATAGAGTTTGGGGCATCTGGATGATTTCTCTCTGGGAATGATTCTTTGCTGGATCTCTTCGCTAATGGGGGAGGCTTTTATTTTGGATCTGGTGGTTTTTTCCAGGTAGGTGATGGGATCTGTATTTAGGGGTTTGTATGTGGAGTCTTGGAGTAGGTTGGTTAATTTGGTTTGGTAGTCAGATGTGTTCATAACCACCGTGGCGTTGCCCTTGTCTGCTGGTAGGATTATTATGCTGGTGTCTTCTTTCAGGTTACGTAGTGCTGTCTGTTCCTCTTTGGGTAAGTTGCTTTTGGGTGGCTTGCTGGTGCAGAGGATGTTGGTCATTTCGAGTCTGATTCTGTTGGCGTCGTCGGGGTTGATTTTGGTCAACCAAAAACTTAAAAATACCAGAACCATTGCCAAAAGTGAACATTTTAATAACAGAATAATCAGAGAAGCCATCGAGATAGAAAAACACCCACACAGCATGAACAAGCGAGATGATACCTCCCGCCTACCAGCCATTTGGAAACCCGCCCTTATTGACAAACGACTCCCTAACACAAAAAATGATACCAGACTCACACTCACAAAAACCACGCAGGAGGTCACCACCACACATCCACGCAAAAAACAAACCCAAAGCCACACCGATGACGAGGCACGACCACAAACCAGAAGCCAGACCACAGCTGCATCATTAGCCACTTTAAACCCCTCCAATCCATACATGAAGCAAACTGACACCTCCATGAAGAGGAGCACGACCACGAACGCGAAGCCAGAAAATAGCAAGGCAGCCCAAATCTTAAACCCCTCTGCAACTCAGACTAACCTGAGCACAACCAAACAGAACACTCCCCCAGCCAATCAGAGCACAGCCAAGCCCCTAACCATTCAGAACACACCTCCACCCAATCAGAACACAGCCAAGCTCCCACCCAATCAGTTCATACCCCCACTGGCAGTTAAAAGGAAGAAACAGCTAAGACCACACATTGCTGCTCGAAGCACGAAGCTGAAAACACCAGCCTGAAGATGACGAATGGGACTTCGTCGAAACGTCGCCAAGACACTTCCAATTTTACGCGGGAGAAAACCCGAACAACCAAAGACCTACATATATATATACACGTTTGTTTTCTGAGGTTTCATGAGAAAGAGCCTGTGGCCTAGAGGTTAATACAGTTGCCTAACATGCACACAGCCCAGGCTCGAATCTCAGAAGGGTAAGTCTGGCTGAAGAGAGTTAAGAAACTCGAAATAGCTATCCCAGTTCTCCCTTTATTCTTTGTTAGCAATCTAAAAAAATGTATATGTAAACAATGTCGCAGTTGGCGACTGCTGCCTGTGGATGGCTCTGGATTGAGCTGATACAGGCAAAAGAAAAAAGAAAAAGAAAGAAGATTGCTTTCTCCCATATTTGGGCCGACAGGGTGCATCAAGAAACACTCAAAGTAAATATATATATATATATATATATATATATATTCTATGTTTCTTTCCTTTTTCAGATTGCATTAGTTTTTATTGTTGCAATTGGAATTTTTAATTTAATTTAATACTATTAAAAATAGTAATAAATTCAGGCTGGTGGATCTTCTCATTTTATTTCTACAACCTGATCAAGTAAAATGGTCATGCTGACAGAATGATCCCAAATTACTCAGATCTAAATCCAATATAATTGCTAGCCCTCATTGGTTCTTTGGAAGATGGATCCATTGGGGAATGAATTATTTGAGAAAACAAAATGATAATCAGTGAAGATAACAAAAAAAATATCAAAAGGTATGTCCCTAAAATAATTTTGAGAAAATATTAGGGTTAGGGTTAAATCTTAGGATTTTAAAAAAAAAGAATGACATGAAGTGGAAAGGTAAGATTTCCAAATTTTAGTCTAAGAGAAGAATAAGAAATATAGTGAGTTTGTAATACAGTTTGCTTTGGGTAAATTTGGAAATAAAAGGTTTAAAACAACTATCATGGGTGGGTTGTATATTTTTTTGTTCCATCAGCACCAGCAAAACAAGCCAATTCTTTATAATCTGTCATAGAAGGGACTTTATAAAATGTGGCCTAGTAATTTACAACTTTCCAACATTCTTACCATCCAGCTGAGTAAGAGAAGGGGGTGTGCTTTGATGCTCATGGAAATGCATCATTTTCATTGCTTTCAGAATAGTTTAAAAACTTTTACAACAAAATCCTACAAATGAAATCTCTTGTTAGCCAAATTAACTATCAAGATTGACTGCGGACACCTCTTAGAAGGTGACAGCTTTTAGTTGTTGTTAGTTTATAGCAAATTGAGACACTGTGGTATTCTTATCAGATACTAGAATAAACTCTCTTTTTTAAAGAGAAGAAAAAAAATGCTGGAGCCCCACCGTCTCATTTTTAACAAGGACCAGCTGAGAAATGAATGCAAGCTGAACACAAACCATCCTATGTCTGCCAAATCATTTCCTGGCCCTGAAAAGTGAAGTAGGGGGAGAACCTCTCCAGTTTCCTCTTAACAGGCCAAACATGGCAAAGCACCAAGGGAATTCTGAATGGAATCAATTGCACTTGTTACTGAATTTTCTTTATTCTTCTATTACTGAGGGCTGGATATTCAGCTGCAAACAATTATAATGAAGAGTTACTGACTAATGGTTTCCAGATTGCTCTATGAGGGGGCATTAATTGGAAGGGACAACTTAAGAGTTTAGGCCATGTAAATGCATTTCTTATCCTGTCAGATTGAGAAATTTTGGCATGCAAGGGGCTGAAATACTCAGAACAGATAAAGACTTCATAGTAGCAATTTAAATAAACATTTGGTAACAGGGGTTATACTGATGGGATCAAGAATAATTAAAGTATCAGGCTAGGTTGCTGTTTTTTAATGACATAAAAATTTATAACAGTAATCTGAGGTTGGCTCTCCAGGAAGTGTGAAACTCAATTTACACTAGATCAAAACTTGATTTAGCATTTATCAGCCTGACTCAGGGACTGCTGATCTATAGGTAAATCTGCTTCTCGTTGTAGCTAACAGGAAATGATTCCAGGCCAGTTTTCATATTGTACGTTCTAGGCTTAAGGCACCTTTCAAAAACAATTCCTTTGACAGAATATAGGAACTCATTGCCTGAGCAAATGCCACATTGTTTGATTCACTGCATGTCTTTCAGTTGTGAATCCTGTTCTCAAGCATTGCAGTTAAATAGTTTCTTGAAAAATAAATTACTTATTAGACCATACCAGTTCACACAAAACATCCAGTGACAAAGTATAGGTTGAAAAGTTTTTTTTGGGATTTGAACAATATGGGATATGAACAGCACATATGAACTATTTAAACCCCATTCAAATGAGAAATAAAACATTCCTATGATTCTTTACTTTTGTTAACGATAAGATCTGAAGCTGGGCTCCAAATCTAGCTACCTTCTGGTCTATAAAGCTCTGAACACTTTATTTTGAGCATGTTAACCAGCTATATGTAGAAACTATATTCAGGTTTTTGTATTGAATGTGTAAAGCTCTAAATAAGAAAATATTTAGATTTAGAAAAGATTTTGTACAGCGGGATTACTTTCATACTTCCTATATACTGTTAAGGCTCAGTATGCACCAGGTAAACACAAAGCTAAATTTTTTCCTTTGCTTTGCCAGCATGGATTATATTAACACTATATTGTATTATTTTTCTAGGGACACATAAAGTCAAACCATATGTTAGTCTAAAACTTACTATGGGGCCCCTCATTTGAACTAGGATCGTGAATGCACAGAGGTGAGTCTAATCTTTGCCATCATACTATGGCTGCAATCAAACATTTCAATTTCAAGTGGTTTCTTTTTCAGAAAGTGAAAAGAGACATCAAGGGCTCAAACACAGACATCCGTCAGCACTCAATAATACAATTTCAAATCCCAAGCTGTATATTCAACTAAAAGCAATGAAGTACAGACCAACACAGAGATTGGTAGTCATAAGTACTTTGATTGAGAGGACCCTGATTTGTTTTTTTTTAGTTATTATGTTAAACAAATCATAAGGCTCAAAATGTCTCTTTAAAGTGTTCTTTTCTTTACCCAGAGGAAAAAAGCAATAAGCCTCATTGTTTATGCAGCTGGTGGAAAAGGTTTATCCCTCTCCCTTACAGTGTGATCTCAAAAGATTACATGGACACACTCATACATATATACCCGCAGCTGAACTTGAAATACAACTCTTTGCTATGTTGTTGAGAGTTTTCAAGCGTTTAAGATTGTTTGTGTGTGTGTGTGTGTGTGTGTGTGTGTGTGTGTGTGTGTGTGTAAATATATAGGAACGTGTATAAAAATTTGTTAAGGCTTTCCAAGAATCCACACATCTATTTTGTTTTCCTTTGCTCCCAAAATGGGCAGGAAATTTGTACCCTTATTTTTCACTTGTTTGCTTTAGGTATGATTCCAAAAATTCTGAGAGAACTTCTGGGGCTGGATATAGGTTATATGGCCATAGTATAAAATAAATATTTATATATTTAGCAATGACAATTATGATAATATAGAGAAATGTATGCATCTGATCATTAATGTCTCTTATGGTTATTCAATAGTAATCCATAATCAAAGAGTAAAAATATCCAACTCATTCTGCAACCACCAAAAATAAGTTTTGTTTGTTTTTATTTGGGGGAAGAAAGTACATTCACATGCTGTATTTTACCTATATTTCTCTTGTACTGAAAAGATAAATCACTCTTCTTGCTTTCCAAGCCCAAGGAGTTTAAAAAAAAGTATGAATAATTAATTGATTCAACAGGCCATGTGTCCCCAATGGGTTGATATGTATTAGTGGTCAGTAAGAGAAAGTGTGACATAAATAACCAAAATAACAAGTTATAAGCCTAGCATCCAAAATTTAAGTCAGAAATTAAATTCTTAATTTAAGAAAGAATTCCCCCTTTGTGTGCTGTTCTGAACCATTATTGTTTGTTATATACATGCGATAAACATAATTACTAACTCTCCATAGTACTGCTTTCTTGAGAAAATACCAAATTTTTGAATTTTTTTAAATATACATATGTCTTTCCCTAAGATTAGGTATTCTCATTTTGCCAGATATGCAGCCCCTTTTAAGTTCTCATTATTGTAATAAGGAGTAAGAGAATGAAATGCATGTGAAAGGGCCAAAGACAGGAAGTTCCTCATGCATGTTTTGTAAATAGTACAAAGAAAACAAGGGATAGAAGGCAGAAACTTTCAAACCCAGGAAACAAGCAGCTATTAATTTGAAAAGATGCCCAGATTTTAAGTAGAAAGGGCAGCCTTCCAGATATTATTACACCAATTACTTCTTTATATGTGCCGCTTTCTAATTCTTTGCAATAAATCAACTCATCTTGTACTTGCTTGAGTAGATGGAACAGGGAATGAGTTTAGTCACTATATTAGGTATGAAGTCCTAACAATGCATTCCTGTCCCAATCCTTTAATCTCAGATCATTTCATATTGAAATTAAAGGATTGGATGTTTCACTCAGTCTGGTTAGTTTCACTATTGAGCTTTGAGGCCAAATGTATTTTTTTTAAAAAAATCACTACTTGTGGATAAAAAGAAAAAAAAACAAGTTATTTCACGTAATTTAAATCTTTGAGACAACTTCTGGAAACTTAAAATTGTTTGTATTGTTTGTTGGTTTAATTTTACTCTAAGTCTACATGATTTTGAAATGTAATGTCATTATATAATAGGTAGCTACAAAGCACAGATTCTTAGCCTTGATGATGTGCAGAACCATTCATCTTAATTAAATAGATTTTCAGTCATTCCTTTACCTACCAGACAAAAAGAGAGGGAAAGTTGGATTAACAGTCAGCATAAACATCATTTAGCAATTCTGCAATGCTGTCCAGTGTGGAACTGGGCTAAGGCATAACACTGACAAGCAGTAAAGAGTAAAGAAATGGGGTGAATGCTGAATTTTAACTTTAAAATCATAGTCAGTTGAAATCTCATAATCACTTAGGAATGGCTAGCCTGAGATACTCAATATGTTCCTCCATGGAAGGATTAATCCAGAGATTGAAGATAAAAGTGGACTTGAATGGCTTTATATGAAAAGAAAAGATGCTAAATTTTAACTTTAAAATAATAGTTAGTTGAAATCCAGAGATACGTGAATCTCATAATCACTTAGGAATGGCTAGCCTGAGATACTCAATACATTTCCATGGAAGGATTAGTCCAGAGATTGAAGATAAAAGTGGACTTGAATGGCTTTATATGAAAAGAAAAGGAAAGGAAAACCATGAAGATTTAAATTTTAAAGTATTCACAAAAGGGGAATGTTCTGTTCTTTGCATTGATAAGGCATTGAAACGAGGCAGGAGTAACAACAGATGCTTCTTTATTTCAGCTTTAACAGAACAACACAAAATGGCTCCATTCCCTTTTATACCTTCTGTAGGGAACAGTGTCAGCCAATAAATGCAGCGTATTTTTCCGCTCTGGCATGCTCAATAGGCTGGAGACAGCCTATCTGGCCCAGGCAGATCACTTGGTCAGCCCGGGTCTCACTGCAGCTTCCTGCACCTGCTCTGTCAGTCACAGGCCCAGGACATAACAGGGAATATATTTGATTCTAAAGAGGCAAACTAGGCCAAAGATAACTAGGTGCTGTTATCTGAGGCAGTTGATTGCTCTATCTAATGGCAGATTAGGCCACAGGAAAAAAATAATGTAGAAACAGCCTCTTTCTTTTTGGGATGGATTATTCTTTTTCTTCTTTCCTTTTTTGAGGGGAAGGGACTACCTAGAACTACCTAGTTTTTCCTGGCAGAGGGAATCTGTAATAGAAGGAACAAGGCCTTCAGCATTCAGCCAATAAATATAAGGATTGTTCCTTAAGTCTGAATATATATACACATACCATATTCCCTTGCAAGACAGTTGCTTGTTTCTCCTAGCTTGGGATGTGCTTATTTTGTTCTTTGAGGTTTGAAGTATGTGATGTCCAATTTCTTCTTCTTTTCTTTCTAAAAGCAATGATATTAATGGCAATAATAGCAGAAATAGGTTTAACTGCAAACAGATGGGACATTGCCTCAGTTTTCTTTTCCAGAATAGACAGTGTTTTCTGAGTTGTGTTTTCCTTCATTGAAAAGGGATTTAAAGCAGCTTAGGCATACTTCCTGGCAGTCATTTAATTACATTTGCAAAATTCCAAATTTTCTCCCCAAAGATAAATAGTCTCTGCTTGACCCAACTATTAGAGAGCTGTCTTTTGCTAGTTGCTGACTAATAATGTGACTGCACAAACATATCTACATAGTGCTGAGCTCCGCAGAAATTCTGCAATCGCCTTTTTCTCCTATTGCTATTAAAAAAAAACACCTCAAAAATGGATAAGAGAGCCAAGTTTGAGATGTGAAAATTCAGCATTACATCATAGGTAAGACGAAGGTCATTTTTAGTAATATTTCCATATGTAAAAAGTTTTCTGATCACTCTGCTATGCTAATTTGGGGGACCCCAGGATTGAAAAATGAAGACAAACATACAATTTGAAGTAGTATGATCATTTCAGTTTACTCCTTCCTTCTCTCCGATAGAGGAATGAGTTTATAGTACATATAAGAATGAGTTATGTTACAGCAAAGGGGGTTTTCCCCAATCTAATTGCTGCATAAAGGTAAGGTAAGAAGTGAGCTGGCTTCTAAAAGTGCTGTGGGCAGGATTTGGCATATGGGCAGATGATTCCCCGTCCTTTGGACAGGCTGATTCTGTCCAATTCTGAAGGGATTCTGCATGTCTAAGAAATCAAATTAGTGTATCCTCCCCTAGTGTAGAGAGCATGGAGAATGGCTTTGATGGAGATGAGCAAGAACTATAACTAAACAAAAAAGAAAAAACATAAGTACCTAACAAGCAGAAAATATGTAAAGGAGACTCAAACAGATACTTCATTAATCGACATAAGTATAAGAAAGAAAGAAAATACAGCATAATGAAACTTGCAAGATTATGTTATTGTAACCCAGGAGTTATAATATGGTCCTATGGTCCTATGGCTGGTTCAGGAATTCTGGGAGTTGAAGTCCATAAGTCATAAAAGGGCCATAGTTCCTCTCCTCTTGTATAGCCAATCTCAATAAAAGTATTTTTAGCCTTCCTGTAGAATTGATTTCTGATCTGGACTATATCTCCCTTTAGAAGAATTTGAACTACAAAGGGATAGTGGCTGTGCAGGAAGAAACAAATGGGAGAGATAATCGGACAAATATATATATGACTTTCATCTGTGTTTTACTTTTTAGAAATAAAATAATTTTAGAAAAGGACTTGTGGATTAGAGAGAAAAGAAAGTAAGTTTTACAAAGATTGAGTGGTAAACTGTGGATAGCATTTATAAATCAATTGTCATGTACAGGTAGTCCTGAACTTACAACAGTTTACTTAGTGACTGTTCAAAGTTACAGCGGCATTGAAAAAAGCGACTTATAACTGTTTTTCACATTTACAACCACTGAAGCATCCCCTTGGTCACATGATCAGAATTCAGCTGCTTGGCAACAGGCTTGTATTTATAACTCTTGCAGGGTCCCGGGGTCATGTATGATCTCCTTTTGCGACCTTCTGATAAGCAAAGTCAGTGGGGAAGCCAGATTCACTTAACAACCATGTTATTAATTTAACAACTGCGGTGATTCACTTAACAACTGTGGCAAGAAAAATCATAAACAACTGTTTCGCTTAGCAACTGTCTCACTTAGCAACAAAAATTTTGGGCTTAATTGTGG